GCACCCACGCAAACCGAGAACTACAAGCGCCAAAGCAATTGGTGTCAACACCAACAACTCGAGAAGTAGCAACGCAGCTGAGTTTTATGGGATGTGATTTGAGAATAACACATTTTCATTTAATTTCAATTAAATTGATTTTAATTAATTAAACAGAAAGCCAACGTCTTTGGTTTGTAGAATTATGTAAAGTTAATTTAACAGAACTAAAATAAAAGAATTAAGTCGCAAACTACAACAACATTTTATACTTGCCCTCAACGTGGATTCAGAGTAAATGTAGAAAAAAATTTACAAAAGTATATTTTGTAGTTAAGAACACAACGTAGTAAAAATATAAACAATATGATTAATTAAAATTAATTTCTGATCTTTTAAATCATTTTATAAAATATTTTATAATACTATAAATAATACTTTATAATTTAAAGCATTCAAGATTTAATTTTCTATTTTTAATCCTGCAACCCGTTCTAATTACTTTAGCTATATAATTTTTATATATAATTTTTTATTTACGTTACCCAGTTCTGTACCGCTACAAAATATATTTAAAAATTTATTGTATTTTATTTAAGTCTGAGAGACTTGCATCGATAGGCCTGAAAAATTCATTCTTCGTCTAGTCAAAGTAAGACTATGCACTCGCCCCCAATGGGACTGTTAGTACAACAGTACTAACATAAGGTCCTGTAGTTCATTGCCATAAAAATTGTAGTTTTAAAGGTCTACTTTTAATTTACTTTCATTTTTTTAACACTATATCCAATCATTTCTATACATTAATGAAGCCAGTCCTGAAAGAAAATTTTTCAGATTTACAATTCCGGATTAACTGCTTTAATTAATTCCTGATAGTTACCAACGATCCTCTGAGACGATAAAAAGGAATAATGCATACCCTACATATATTATTGGACACTCATTAAATACTTCCACAGGCTTATGGCCATACCAAAATTTATAAAGCACGGCATTTCGAATATCTTGCTTTAATATTCAGTTTAAGGCGTTGTAATTTATACCGACTCGTTATCATTATTTATGCATTTTCTAGAGTCAATTTTGATTCTTTGCAATGAAACTTTAATTGACACATCACAATATAATATCAAATCAGCTAGCATTATTCAATTTGTCAAAAATTTATTCTAAGTGAATTTAAGTTTTGCCCTCAGTTTACATTCATCTGTTTCATAATGCTCACTATGAAGCATATAGAAATTATCCTCATCCAAACTAAGCTTGAAAAAATATTTAAATCAGTCAGTAGGGGTATCTTAATGCATTCACTTATACAAATAAAACAATAGATAATTTTGTAGAATATGAAAGATATATGAAAAAATTACTCCCTGAATTTCAGTTTGTGCTACGAGAGTGCATACTTACCAGTACTTTACCAGCGTCCTTACAAAAACTAAGGGCATATATGTTACTTTTGCGCTCCAAATAAAACACGGCTAATATATTTTTGCAGTAGTTAATAGGCCAAAACACTTACTTTAATACATTTTAAAAAATATTCAGTAAATACAAAGATTTCTTATCAAAAAACGCACCAGTCTTTAAAATATATATTTTTTATTAGTAAATAATTAAATTGTAATAAATTAATCAATATAAAGAATATTAAAGCTTTGATGAAGACTATTTCTACGTCATTTATTACTACACATTTGCCGTTTATTATAGATAAAATATAAGTAGTTCTTATTATAATTATGTGTGTTGTAAAATAATTGAAAACCTGCATCTGCAAGCTTATTTTAACTAATAATACATTATATATTTCTTCGATGTAAAATTATTTTCTTACGGTCATCTAAGATGATGACATTCACACAATATTGGCACAAGGTTACCCACAAACATTCCCAGAAGGTATTTTTCATGTTCACGATTAGTTTAGGTTGTGAAATTTTTTTAAAATATACTTAACAAAAAAAAATATTTGGCAAGTATATCATGCATATATCATGATGGCCCTAAGCCTATAAAATTTGTACTTTAGAAAATTGTACTTATTTTTATTTAACCATAATTTGTTACAACTAATTTAAAAAACAATTGTGTAATTACTATATAATATTTATCATAATTGACAGTAATGCAGGCCCTTTTCATTCTATAATATTAACACCCTGAACCGATTTTGAAGCTGTATCTCCGACTTTTTAATGTAATTGAACCAAACCTTTATGGTTTTATGCAGAGCCATTACAGATTATTCTTAACTCACTGAACCAATACGATTCATTGCTCTATTATATACTATGTGATCCGATATAAAGTTGGTTACTTGGTTACTTATCTGATAATACCTTTCAAAAATGTTCAGTATGGTGTTGTAGTTAAAAGTTTGTTGGGCATTTCGATGACAGATTAGTCGATGAAATTATAGATAAAGCTTAAGATCGTTAGTATTTAAATAGTAAAGACATCATTCAGGAAATGATCTAAACTGTGTACATGAAACTGCTTACAAAAACAATATTGATTGTCTTTTAAACTAAGTGGAAAAAACTTAATGAACCAAATTCTTTTAAGCAAATTATAAAACAAAATTTCGAAACAATTTTGAGGTACATTAAAATAGATAATAACAAATAGTTCACATTAAACTGATTGCCCAAGAAGAAGATGATATTGTTTGTTTGGTTGGATTGGATTGGATTGGAATGGATTGGAATAGTATCATTTATTATGAAACATTACTACCCTTAACTCGTGATTGATGCAGTTCAAATATGAAGTTGGAAAAATTGCTATTGATCCAGCACAACGGCATTATGATTTATAATGATTAGTCTAGAAAGCATACTTTGTTGGAAACCAGCCATAAATTTTTGGACATCATATGAGAAGCTTACATTTATTCCGTTTAGAGTGCTGCAATTTTACGGTAAAAGGATCCTTTAATTTTATCGCTACAACATCTTTTTATTGGCGTAGAATTATATTTAAAGAATAACTTTATAATATAATATAAATATAAATATAATACTTCAGAACTCTGCAATAAAATATTACTGTTACTAAATAAATAATGATGATCTTAGAAAAATATACAATATCATGTTATTAATATTACTATTTAAATAAAAATTAAAAGTTTTTATTTTGAGTAATGACAACAAACACGCTTTGTCCGATATTATAATAATCAATTTATGTTTTTAAATTTAGAGATTACCTATGAATCTCTATCTTCAAAGATCTATTTATAATCTACTTCTTATTGGACACTCAATTTATAAAATCTATCTAAGCAGAGAACATAAATTAAAATTTGGTTTAGCCTTCGAATATGTATAATAACATCAATTGTATTTAATGAAATTCCGGTTAAATTTGGAATGTCTTGTTTCTCTGCTTCGAATTTAGGTATTGTATAAAGATTTAGCTTAAGTAATATATATAATATTGTACGTATTATACGAAGAACCCGCTGTTTAAAAAATTATGCCAAAAACGCCGACAAAAGTTCTTTGAAATCAACACTGCAAACATGCATCAATTCAGATATCATCAAAATCTCTCGAACACAATGTCAAGTCTCTAATCATATAAGAAATCTAATCAAATCTTATGAGCCATTGTTCATTCTCACCTCACTTAGTCTTAGCAACTTGAATTCATGTAAGTTACTAACTCCTAAGCAGACAATCTTTCGCACAACCAAATGTCAAAGTAAATAAAAATCAAAAGCGTATTTTTTTTTTGAAATAAAAAGCCCAAAACTTCAAAATTTTACGGCGTAAATTAAGTTGCTTAAAAAGTTTTCGGTTTACGGAAAACAACAAAAATTCTAAAATTTCATGCAGATTTGATTTCCAAATCAAATAATTGATCTTAATGCCACGTCAAATCGGGATTCTGTGGAATGCTGAAAGCGTGACTTTAATAGTAAAGCGAAGTCACCGTAAAAAGATACAATTTCAAACCAAAGAGTAGAGCTTTTATCGAGATTAATTTTAATTTTGATTGTTTTTTTTTTTGATTTTTTGAAGTGCACGAAAGAAACGGTTTCTTGCATGCTGTCAACGTAACTCAATACGTGGCTGTAACTGTTGACGTACGAGTATTTATGCGATTCCAAACCAAATAGGAAGATTTGACTAATATATGGAGTTTAGTGGTATTTGTTTGTTCTTGAAAAACATCTAAAAGTTTTTCATAAACAAATATATTTAAAAACTTTTTTTTGTATAATATAAACTCCAAATTTGTCAAGATATATATGATTGTAATATATTTTACTATTTATATACGTAAAGTCATTGCCAAAATTATTTGAGAGATTGATTTTTGAATCATACATGACAGCTTGTTGATCTTGATTTCGTTCTAAATCCAAGAAATAATAAAAATAAAAGGTTTTTATTATGTCTAACAGCTGGCACATTTCAATCTAACATTTGTTGACGAAAGAAGATAAAACTATATTAATATATATATATACATATATAACAAATCAAATATTTTGGCTAGTGAATCTTACTTTCAACAATAAGTTATAAAACAAAATTTATTTCTCTTAATGCATATATATTGTTTTATTATTTTCATTTTTATAATGTTATTTATATACTTTTATTATCAAATAATTTGTGTATTAAAATTGCAATCACATCGTATATTTACAACTAAACAGATACAAAAATTATTACTATATTATATATCTTTTAATCTATGTTCATCTCAATACTGTTTTGTAAGGAAATGTTTGTGATAACTCTTCAAGTAGGTATTACGCTACTGAAATAGTCAAATAAAGTCAAAAATAATAATAACATATTAAATAAATCATTTTAAATTTAATTTAAATACATTTTAAAGTATATAAATTCATTTAATTAAATTTTAATTTATTAAAAATTAAATTAACATAAA